GGCGGGGAGGCGGCGAGAACATGGCTTTAAAATATCCCGGTGCCTCATCACAGCCCGGCACGGGGCTGAGCGGAGGCCGAAGCCTTCTCCTGGGGACCCCCCCCGCGCCCGCTGGCATGGAGTGCACCTTCGAAGGGACCCCCTCCTCGCCATCCTCCTCCTCCTCGCCTGGCGGGGTCACCGCTGCAGCCCCTCTGGGGGTGCTGCACCCTGTAGGGGGGCATCCCAGGGTCTGTGCGCCTGGGGGTACCGCTGCGGGGGCATCCTGGGGCGCTGCAGGGGCATCCCGGGGCGCTTCGGTGGAGCATCCTGGGACGCCTCAGTGGGGGCATCTCCGGACACCCCAATTGATGTGTGGGTGTCGAGGCGATGTGTGGGTGTCGAGGCGATGTGTGGGTGTTGGGGCGATGTGTGGGTGTCGGGGCGTGTGGATGGGGACATCCCGGGGCACCCGGGTGCCACTGAGCGGGGCAGAGCCCCCAGGCTGTTTAACCCCGCGCTGCCCAGCTGCCCTCCTGGGGGGTGCTGTGGGCAGGCACACCGGGCACGGGGGTCGGGCGCATCCCAAATGTGCCACCGGTCTGCCCCAGCCTGAGCACCCCCTCCCCTTGGTGCAGGGGCTGCTTTGGGGGTTGTTGGGGTTTCCAGTACAGGATAAATGAACGAGCTGGCACAAGCCCGTCTCTGCCCCCTCAACCTCAGAAACAGGCTGAGAACCACCCTGCCACCCCCAGACCAGGCTGGAAACCTCTGACCACTGGTGGCCAGGCTGCAGCACCCCTGTTGTGAGCGCTGTGCCTCAGTTTCCCCACCAGCAGGTTGCCTAGGAGGCTGTGGGGAGCCAGGGCACAGCAGATTCCTGGGCTCTCATGGAATTTTGCCCCCGGGTTATGGGGATCCATCCCCAAAGCGCTGAACTGTGTGGGGTGGGCATCATGGGGCCAGCCCAAGGACCCCCAGGGCTTTGGGGGCTCTGTGGGAGGTGTGGGGCTGGGGCAGCCGCTGACAGCGTGGTGGGGGGGCTGTTTTGCAGACATGCTCCAGCTGATCAACACGCCAGACAATGACTTCTCGGGGCTGTTCGACT